TCGGCAGAGGAAGACCTTGCAGGTGGGAGTATCTGCGCATGAGCAACTTGACAGGATAGCTATGCTCAGACAGGCTCAGCTCACCGGCAGTGAAGGCGTGAAAGATGTTGTACCTTTCTTTGGGAGAATGAGCCGGGGAGATGTCAAACGAGACAGCAGCTCCTTGTAGATGGATCACCTCATGGCGGACAGTACGCAAAGGCAAACTCTCAGGTTCTTTGTGTAAGTGGAGATGCTGGACTGCTGAGGGAAGGATGAGGGTTCTCTCTGATCCGTCGTCCAGGATAGCAAACCCTTCCAGAGAGTGCTCGGCATTGTACAGGCGCACCTGGACTAGCTTCAACATGACTTTATTCGGACGACTAGGACGGTCAACGTATATAGTGTTGGGAGCAGCACTGACCATTAACACTTTCTTAGCCTCTTGGGAACATACTTCGTGGAGCACGGTCAGGTGTTGCTGTTTGCACACTTGGCAAGGCTTTTTCAGAGTACATGCCTCAGGTTTGTGGTTTCTGCCACACCTCCAACAGCCTCTGTCCTTAATCCAGGTAGAAATCTCTGATGGAGTGAGCGTTTTGAATTTGGGGCATAAACTAAGGTAATGCTCACGGGCATCGCAGTACGGGCAGTAAGGCTTCATACTGGGTTTACTTTTAGGTGACTTTGGGCTACGAACAGGATCTGGAAGGGCTACCTTTGCTCGGCTCTCAGTGTTGTAAAACACGTTGGATGAAGGACCCTGGGATTTCCTTTGGCCCTTAACTGGCTTAGGTTGGTCTTGGAACATCAGAGCTGCTCGAGATGAAATGCGCTTGGCTTGTGACTTTAACTGAAGCCAAACAGAGAAGTCTTCAAGTGTATAGGTCTGATCAGTGCCAGTCCTCAGGATGCCGCGGTTTATGCTGTACTCCACAAACCCATCTCGATAGTTAGTAGGCAATTTGCTGAGCAGCCTGTCGACATGGGAGCCGCATCGTAGTTCATAGCCATTTTCACCCTCAAGGGAGCGGAGCATGCCAACAAGACCTTGTACTGATAGAGCAAAGTTATCAAACGCCTCTGGATCTCCAGATCGTACGGAAGGTGAGTTTAAGATAGTACCAAGCTCACTCTGCACAAGCTGACGCGGTTGCCCATATTTATCTTGGAGAGCCTGGAGAGCTGAGGTGTATGGCTTTGGATCGTGCATGTAGGCTTGGGCTAGCTTATGGGCGCTTGGCAGTTTCAAATGGTCGAGGAGGACTTGATATTTGAACTGCTCTGTAAGGTGAGCATGTGTATTGAGCAGATTATCCAAAGCCATCTTGAGCAGGGCAAAGTCTGACTCTTTACCTGAGGTGAAGTGAGGTAGAGTAGGTCTAGGAAGGCCATAAGATGTAGCAACTAGGAGCTCCATGAGGTCTGTGCCTGGTGCTGCCCTGTAATCTAAAGGCGCTGTGCCCGGTCGTGCCAAAGATGGAACATTAGGGTAAGGATAGGACTGCGTGTTGGCAACTGATAGCACTGGTTGTAAAGGATTAACAGGTGGAGGCACATGTCGGATCTGGGCTTGGTTATAGACCATCTGTGGCTGGCGAAATCGGCCCATACTCTGTTCTACTGACAGTGGCGGAGCATGTGAAGTCACAGCACTCACAGCTGGTCTAGGAGCCGACTGTGACGCTGGGTTGATGATTTCAGGAGGAGGAGGGGGGAGCATCGTAATATACGTAGGCTGAGGCTGAGTGAGCATACTAGTAGAAGTATAAGCACTCACTTGTGGAGCAGGCTGGACTGATAGAGGACTGGTCGAGTCAGATAAACTAATGACTGCATTGGAGACTGGTGTGAGAACATGAATAGGAGTAGAATGGAGCAGTCCATGTACACTTGATGAGTCGAGTATAAGAGGCTGAGCTTCTGATGAGGACCTTGGGTTGTACTCACATTCACTAAGGGGCCTGGAGGAACGAGGACTTTCACTTCCTTCTTCCTTCAGGAAAGACGTGATCAGAGCTGCTTGCGCCAATTCCATCTCTTTCTCTTTCAGTCGCTGTCGAAGCATCTGATGCCTTGTGATAGCCTCTTTATTCTTGTATGCCATCTGCGCTTTCTCCTCCAGTCGACGTCTATGCCGGTCTTGTTCTCTGAGAAGTTCCTCCTTCTCCTCAAGAGCATCTCTGGCTTCTTTGTCCAAAAGAGTACACTGCTCGTCCACTAGAGTCTGCTCCATAATCTGCCGCTGTGCTTCTGCTAATTCCATCCGCTTGACCTGTTCCTCCAACATGGCACTCTGTAGCGCGGATAGCCCTTCTGCAACGGACCTCTTAGTTGATAAGGCCTCACTGAGTTGAGATCTCGTTCTGCTACGATGAGAAGATACTGAGGATCGACATGACTCAGCTCTTACCAACGGCCGTGAAGGTGGATGAAGGATCGGGATGTTGTGAGCTGGGATTGCTTCTCGGAATTCCTCAGCTTTGGAGGCAGGAGGTACTGTAACTCTCGGTCTGTACCCAACTTCAAAGTTTGCAAGGGATGCTGGTAACTGTATCTCCCGCTGGGGTCGAGAACGCACTGCTGGATCTGCAGATGGTTGTCCTGGCTCCATATTGTCTCCAGAAGGCTGTCAGATCCGGCTCGAAGGACCATGTGATAGAGTGCAATGCTCTGAAGGGATAATACTGGTCTGACAGTTTCTTTTGACAGAGCTCCGGTCAAGGAGAAGGGCACGGAGAAATTATTCCAGCAAACTTTTTAATTATTGAAGTTTGAGTATAGACATCGTTGTACAAACAGTAATATATGCATTTCTGTGTGTGTGGTTTTCACTTATATTACGCACACGAGGGCTACCATCCCACAGAATGCAGAGTCGGTAATAAGGAAATGACGCACACAGAACGGAAATTATATCACTACAGTTTCAAAATAAAAGACTTTCTGACAATCAGTGAATGAGGTACAGGTGAATGTGATCAGTGATGATGAGTCCGGGCAGTGAGTTCTAGGAAATGTAGTTTGTGTGAAACATAGTCTTATCTGGAGTGCCCTCTGGTGGCTCAAGAGGGCACTCCAGCTGGTAACCGTTACAAAAGTAAAGTTTCATAACTTTATATTTAGGCTATTTTAACATTGTATCCTGCTGTATGTTTGACTGAAGCTACTTCTGTTATAATGGCTAGCCTATTACTGATCAATAAAACTGAAATTTAACACAAAGAGCTAAATATTAAATATGTCACTATTTAACTTATTTTTGTGTGTGTGTATTCTGTAGTTGAAATGTCTTATTCTATTGATATTATTATAGCATTATTAATAAACTATAATATCAATATTTTTATACAATTATACTAGTATTCATTACCATTTTATTTGCTGTATACTATTTGTTTATTTTATTGACTAAACTATTTACTATTACTTCTCACTTTACGTTAATTACTATTTGCATTGCACTGTATGCCCAGTTGTACCTCAACATGTATTATCATAAAGGATCCAGTTATCAATGTTATTGCTAAAATCTGGTCAATCACATAAAATGCTTTTTCCACAATGAGCAAACTTAAATTTTCCCAGATAGCAAACTGACATTGAATCAACGTGGAAACGACGTCTCTCATGACATTGAAACAACGTTGATTTTGCTCATCGAATTAACGTTGAACCAACGTCAGACGCGGCATTCTTCAAAGCTAAATGAAATCGAAAATTGGTTTGCTTTCATAACGTTGAAACAACGCGTTGATTTCAAGTTGATTTTCCGTTAGTTTTGAAAGAATGACGCGTCTGACGTTGGTTCAACGTTAATTCGATGAGCAAAACAATGTCAGATCAACGTTGTTTCGATGTCATATTTCCACGTTGATTCAATGTCAGTTTGCTATCTGGGAAATCATGACCAAATACAACCAAAAACAAACGTTCAGTCTTGCTTGTGAAAGGTGCTTCCTCGAAAGCTGTTTTACAGCCCCAAGCAGCGAACAAATCAGGCATTTTTCTCAATTCCCGGTATGAGAGGTATGGGAAAGTTGCTCTCCCCAATATGGCGGCGCAGTTGACGTACGCTCCAGCGGCCAATAGGGCGTCTATGTATATATTATGTCTATGGTTGAAACGGTCTAACTGCACTTTTCAGTACTTCACAGTTCACAGTTTGTAATATGTTTTAGCAATACATATGTAAAATTTATAATGTGTTTAGAACTTTTTTGTGGAATTGTCTTTACAGGGACTTTAATTATGCAGAACTTTAAGGCTTAAATATAATTTAAACAGATGAGTTGTAAAAAAATAACCCCCTCACAGGAAAAATGAGCTCTATAGACTAAAGCCACTTGCTCCAGGCTGTAAACATGTTTTTTTCTGCTGTAAAGTTTTAAGATGGGGGAGATGCAGATTTGACTTCTGCAGCCACTCAATAAATTGTAGTTTAATTCACTTCTGTTCCGTGTTGGTTTCAAGAGAGAGATGGGGAGGTTGCCGCTTGGTCCAGACTCTGCGAATAGGTATTGAGAACTATTGAGAATCTTTCACATAGGGACATTACTGTGTTGTGGTGGAAATGACACAAATACTGTGCGAGTGCGACAGCTATATTTTGTATAAAAAGTAATATTCATAGGGGTCTCACATTAAATACTGTATGTATTTCAATTATTTTACTAGTGCAATTTAGATATTAGTTACCAGATAAGTCATATTTTTAAACTGTTGTTTCATTGGTGAAGTTTAAAAGTCTGGTTGTGTGACCCATTTAAGAGTTTAAAAAGTATGAAAAGAAAAAGGGTTTTTATGTGGTTTGACAAAGAAATAGGAATTTGTCCAAAATTGTTTGTATTTTTAAAAATATGACCAAAGTACATAAAAGTGCCCATCATAGTCTAAGAATCACCCATATACAAATTACATAATTTTATAATGTTTTTCTATTCGTAATTGAGATGGAAAATGTGGCAGGAGGAGTGTGCAGCAAACTTTGCGTTAGAAAATGTTCATCGTCACGTGTTGATCGCGTACTTCATCAAGCGTCTATACGTCACACGTGCAAGCGTTATCACTGTGAGGTCTATGGTGAGGACTCATGTGTCCTTCACCTGATATTGGGAACTCTAAACAGCAATATATTTGCGCTGTTTGTGAAGTGATATTGGTGAACGTTAGCTCTGTTTGGTAACAGACAGTATCATGGTGAGCGTCGTGCAGGTTTTCATGTCTAAGCTGCTTTCCCCACTGTGGCGCAGAGCTCATGAGGATGAGGAGGAGCAGGATCTTCACTCTGAGGGTTAGTCGATAACGCGTAGAGTGTAAAGCAGGCCCTGCTCGTACAGGTGAGACTAAGCTGTTAACTCTCTCTCTCTCTCTCTCTCTCTCTGTGTGTGTGTTCAGGTATAGCGCAGATCCAGCAGGTGCGGACGGGGGTCGTGACGCATCTGTGCGCGGATTATGGTCTCATAGATCATGCGGTGTATTTCACATCAGAAGTTGTGTTAGGAGGAGTCGTGCTGTGTGTGGGAGACTCGGTTCAGGCCCTGGCCGTCCGGGAAGGAGCTCATGAACAATGGAGGGCGCTCAGGGTGAGATGAATGTCCATGAACGTATAACTTGCACATCTACAGTTGGTGTATTCTGACTTGCATCTGCTCTTCTTATATGCCTGCTCTTAATTGGCTTAATATTTGTGTTCAATAAAGCTGTAAAACGGAAAGAAAGTTTTACTGAAGGACTCCTTGCTTACTTTGGCATGTTTGTCATTTCAATTGGCTTTATGCACAGCTGCACTACTTCCCGAACTTCAGCCAGCTCCTGGCTGGCAGTTTGGATCAATCCAAACTGATTGATCTAGGTGTGCCTGACCTCAGTAGTCATAACAACAATAATCAGACACACCTGGATTAATCAGGTTTGTCCAATAATGGAAGACAGGAAACAAATGAGCTGGCTGAAGTTCGGGAAGTAGTGCAGTTGTGCATAAAGCCAATTGAAATGACAAACATAAGGTTGGTATTATGGAGAGCTTATGAGTAAAACAACAACAGTGTCAACCAACCTTTTCAAACATTTTCCTGCTTTCTTGCTGGTTTGTTCAAATACAACAACATATTTACAGTTTACACATCTTTCAGCCCCATAGACTTTTTAAACTGGTGGTCTTCAAAATGAATACTTTGATATGTCCACACTGTAAAAAGATAATTTCATGATTTGTAATCACAACATTTTTTTTCTTTTGTCAAATCAACTTAGATAATTTATGTAGTTCAGATAACATAATATTTTGAGTTTCTGGTGATTAAATTAATCTCCTTAACTGTATTAACTAATTTTTCTATTTCAATGAACTTAACATTTTAAGGCGTCAGGTTACTTACTTTTTTTTTATAAGTTAAACCAACAATATATTTTTACAGTGCAGTTAAGTGCAAAAAGCTGTGAAAGAGAGCTGAATTCAGGATCAGGATTTTTACCCATACATTTACGTCAAATAGTACAGTTTATGAAATGTAATACTTTTGAAAAGCGATTTTTTTTTTTTTTTTTTTTTTTTTTTTTTTTTTTTTTTTTTTTTTAAATTTGTGAATCACCAGAAGATAGAATTGCGCTTCATAAGTGAATATAAGTGTTACAAAAATAAAGATAACACGGGCACACAATCTGTCTATTTTTAACGGACAGATATGGCTTCGACCGCACACACATACTGGTTCCAGGAACAGGGTTGAGAATTGATGATTTATTGGGTATTTCTATAGCTGTTGTGAGAGTGTGAAAAGTAATTGATTGTGCAGTCTAGATGTTGTTTATAAATTTCTTACTATTATGAGCTTACTATTTTTTTCTATTGAAGTGTTGTGCATTTTGGAATACATTATTAAAAAGTGTGTGTGGATTTCAGGTGGAGCTACAGAAGGACATGTGGGAGAGTGGAGCACTGGAGGCACTGAAACAGGACTCTGCCAAACCCAGGCCTCTGATTGGAACAGTGACGTCATGTGATCGGGACGGAGGACTTATAAACCAGACTACGTTTTTCCCACGATCGGCTCTCTGCGAAGGTCAGAAGAGCTGTTCATTCACTTTAATGCTCAATAGGATGCTGTGACAGGCCTTTATTACACCTCACACATACTGGTATTTTATCTCAATGTGTAAGTATTTAAAGGACTTTTATCATGTATCTGTAACTGTCAGAACACAAAACAATTTCCCCAGCATGATTGAATTTCCCCAAAAAAAGCATTTATTGAGTGCTAGTGGTAATTTTGTCAGCTATTTTTTTTAAATTTAGTATCTTAGTTAGGGCTGCACGTTTTCAAGTTTTTCATTAACCGTTAACCGAGGCCCTTATCGGTTAATACTCGGTTAACCATGTGCGCGCCGCAACCTCGAGATACAGAGTTAATTTTTAACACCATTAATAACTGGTTGGACCCCATTTGAAACGAAATTAATTTATAGAAATAAAACGCAGTGGTAAGTTCAGAGCAGTTAAAGTAGGCGCGTTTCCATCACCTTTCAAACTGAAATTGCCCATTGAAAATACGCACATTGGCAACACGTCCATTTCGCAAAAACTCCGTATCCGCAAATAATAATAATAATCATCATTATTGTAACATTTTATTAGGCTGCATATGTAGAAGACGCTTTTATCCAAAAAAGGAACAAAGCACAAATAAACACAATATTTTGACGCATATCCAGTGTGTGTGCTTAGTGTGGAGGCTGCGAGATGCCCATGTGAACACTTGCAGTTTCATTGCAGTTCTTTCAGTGGAAACAACTTAAAATACTCTTTCATTTCTGGTCATACAGAAAATAATAATACATTATTCGCAAATACATTCATTTGCGTAAAGTCACAATAACAAGAAAACGTTGTGCTTTAACAAACAGGCGCGCTTCATGATCTCCGTGAACTGGAGCGCGAGAACTGAAACAGCCGCATTCAAATTAGTTCGTTTTAAATTGGACATTTAAAGCTTTTGTAGACTAAAGCTTTAAATGTCCAATTTAAAACGAACAAATTCGAATAGAAAGCCACAGGGGCGCAACTACCCAGTTTCAGAGGGGTATGCAGCAACAATTTTAGCCCCCCCCCCCCAAAAAAAAGGAAAAATAAATGTAATGTAAGTGTGCTGTGTAATAAGTGAGTAGAAAGAAATGAGAGCTAACAGAAAAAAATAAGTGCAAAATTGTCGTTTATTAACACAATTAAACTATAGCTACTCCACCTTGATGAACCCCCCTAAGAAAACTATAAGCTCCATTGGAACAGCAATACCAGTGTTTCTTACAGGATTTTAGGTAAAACTGTGGTAGGTGGACCTCTATTTCTCTAGAGGGGTTCGGGGGCATGCTCCCCCGTAAGAAATTTTTTTGTTCTGTAATGTTAAATTCAGCAGTCTGGTGCACTTTGAGAGTTCAAAATTAAAAGCTCCAACCCATATTCAGGGTGCAAATTAAACAGAGAAAAATTTGAACCTCTTAATTAGTGTCTGTCTACATTACACTACTACATAATAATAGTTATAATATTAATCCCATGATAGTAATAGCCATAAAGGCTATTGTAAAACAAATGCACAGAAAAATAAAGGAAACTTTCATAATTAGTTTTGCACTAATTTCTATACTTGAAAGATACTTGTGCATAATGACATGTTTCATGGGCCAGTGTGTCAGAAAAAAAAAACTAAAGCTGACTTTTTTTGACCAATGGATTACAGCAGCACAGCGCCGCCAATTAAGCAAAAAACAAAACAAAAACAAACAACAAACAAATGGGCTGCCGATGTATGAGTTTTGTGGGCCGTTAAAACAAATACATTTAAAAAGGATGAAATGTATTGGCTGAAAAGCACGTCGGCCCAGCGGGAATCTCCCGGTAGTCCCGATGGCCACCGAGATATAGATAGCCTACATGCCTGGATGTCACTTTTTAAATCCTACCTGTTGGCTTTCAGCAATGCATGCAGTTATTTAGCTGCTGTCGCATCAATTGACATGCCATCTCCTTTTCTCTCTTTCTTTTTCTATTTTTAGCCCCACAGCATTTTGTTTTATCCATCTTTTTCGACGACAACTCACTACTCGTACCTACTCACTCAGCGCTCACGGCGCCCCCGCCCGCTCGCGATATTACCCGCCCCCCCTTCTCCATCAGGGCGCCTAATCTAGCCTGGCTGTTAGTCCTCTACAATTTTATATAACAATGAAGGAATGCAGAAATGATTTAGAAACGCACAACGGCAGCTACATATAGAAATACAATATAGCCTATATATAATTATTTATTTTTTTTACCATCGCTTTGGCGCCCGCCATTGTGCTGCGCCGCATATAGCGCATACCCACTTTTTGCGCCACTGGAAAGCCAATATCTTCTGACTATGTAATTATGTAGTCAGCTAATTATGTATTTCTCTCTAAAGGTGGATCCGGGGATGGAGATTTGTTTTTAGCAGAAACTGATTTAGAAAACAATAGTTTATTAATAAACAATTAATGCCTCGTTATGTTATATTATTTTATTATCAGACACATTTATTATATCTTATAAATCATCTAAATCCCCTTTCTGTAGGCTGTGGTTACGGCTCTTCTCATTCAGCACTGCGGGGGAAAATCATTTCCAGGTTCTAATCTGGCCTCAGAAAACCAGTAAAATCTTTTTTTTTCCATATTCATTTGTCAAATATTTTAAATGTTTAAAGGGGCAAAAAATCAAACAAATATCTGAAAATTCGTCTATGTATAGCCTATATATTTTTGCGCAGCATTTGACGTAGTCCTACAGTTCAAATTAACATTTTGGTGTTCAACTCTGCGTTTTACAAAATACAACAACCGTTCATTTTTCGTTTTGCAACTAGGCCTACGGATTAAATAAGGGGAAACGAATGAACACAAAAGTACACTGACCGTTTGGACATATACGAGGCAGAGTTCTTTTTTAAAATTCATAAAAGATACAAGGAATAGCCTACTAGACAAAACCTCAAAGAAATGCCACAATCAAGACCGCGGAGCAGAAATGAGGGAGAAACACACAGAAACTCTGTGACTTGCTCTGCCATTAATGCCTGGATGACACACCACGTCTCCTTTTATAAATAATAATAATGTCTAGTGCGGTGGCTGTGATAGACTACCAACGTCCGTTGCCATTATTTTTGGAATGGCTTATCGCGAAAGGAAAAAAAAATGTTTTAGTCGCATAACACCGTTAATAGAAACGCTGTCATTTCACAATATTTTTTTATCGACAATCAGGGAAAAAAAACGCAAAAGTTTTGTGCAAATATGTATTGACGCCACTTAACCGAGCAAAAAGGTTTCACTCGGTTATCCAATTTTAAACGGTTAATCGGTTAACCGGTTAACCATGAACACCCCTAGTCTTAGTCCTGTGTCAAATGTTCTTTTTAGTTTTTAGCATATTTAGTCAACCTTGTTCTGTTTTTGTTTAGACAAGTTTTAGGTGACTAAATGTGTTTTAGATAATGAAAACTTAGTGGTTAAATTTTACATTCCATCAGAATTTATTATTTATAATTCTTGCACTTTCCTATACAGTATTAAGCACAAATCTAAAGAATGTCAGCTCCTACTTGTGGCTTATTTTACCTTTTACTTTACCTTTTCATGAGGTTTTTTTTTAATAGGCTATTTGTCATAAATGAACACATTCTCTCACAAATGTGTAGAGAATGAGAAATTTCTCATAGTAATTTCAATAATTCCACATTACATTCATGTTTTTCTATTAAAGTTTGGTCCTAGAGAGCCGCTGTCCTGCAGAATTTAGTTCCAACCCTAATCAAACACAACTGAACAAGCTAATCAATGTCTTCAGGATTACCAAAGGCCGTTGCACACTGAGTCCGAAATTTTTGTTTGCGTTGTTTCGTATTTGTCAGCCTAAAAATTCGTCACACCGAGTCGTGCCCTCTCTCCTATTGAAAAGAGAAGAAAGAGAAAATATTGGGTCCATCCAATCGTGAAATTGCACCGAGGAAGGAGAGTTCCACCTCCTTATCAAGGAGTCGTGAATTTATCCAGAGATATTCAAAATTTACTTCAGGATGTCAGTGGAACAGTTTGATGCTTTGCTAGCGATTCTGGAGCCACATATTAAAAGAAGACCAACAATTTCCGTGAACCAATCGATCCTGAACAGAGGTATGAACACACACAGGCACACGTGCGGCCCGGCGGACGCGCTGGGCAGACAGAACAGCTGTATAGGCTTCAGGTTATAAATTGGACCTAAATAATACATTAGTTATCGAATTGGCTGCTCAATCACACCTTAATTGACACGAAATTTCGGGGAGGTTTCCTTTTCTAATCCGATCGAGAACAAATAAACACTTGATCGAATTGAAAACCGAAACTGAAAGGACTTGCGCATGTGGAATGATGTGCGGAACGAGCTCCCCCGGCCCTGAATTGTCAAAAAACCTCTCAAAATGCTGGCTGTGAATGCGGAAAACGCAGAAAATCAAACCTGATCCGATTAATTTTATGACGTACGAAAGTTTCGGAGGCGGTGTGCAAGAGTGATTGACATTACGTGAGGTAGAATTTTTGTTTTTTTTAACGTGCGAAAATTTCGGATGCCAATTTCAGATTCAGTGTGCAATGGCCTTAAAGTCCCCGTGAACTGGAAGTTGCAAACGACTTTTCTCCAGTGTTGTGACGTATTTCCGAGAGAAACGGAATACTAAATGAGGCAAAATAGTCGGCGTGGCTTTTTTTTCCAACTAGCACCTGATTGGATCTAGAAAAATGGGTGTTTCATTCTGAAATGGAGGATGACGCAAGTTTACACACGCTGTCAATCAATGCTCGCTCCGCGTTCGCAAACACACAGCAGCTGTCAGTTGGAGGGGCGTGTTTATGGATGTTAAGGAGACACCCAAACCGTAAAGCCTACGTCATCGGGCAAGGTCCTCCAATGCAGAGGGGAGGGGCATTTTCAAAATTTGATTAAAGATTACGAAGCCAAAAAATTTTTTTGAGTGTATTGACTTGCATGTATGAATTTTTCACCACAAAATGATCAATTTAGGCAAACAAAGTAAGTATGGTCAATTTTGATTTCACGGGGACTTTAAGGCAGGAGAGGTTTTTTTTCCGAAATTCGCATCCGAAATTTTTGCACGTTAAAAAAAAAAAATCAACCTCACGTTATGTCAATCACGCTTACACACCGCCTCCGAAACTTTTGTCCGTCATAGAAAAATTCGGATCGGGTTCGATTTTCTGCGTTTTTCGCATCCACAGCCAGCATTTTGAGATGTTTTTTGACAATTCAGGGCCGGGGGAGCTCGTTTACTGTCTATGGAGCTCGTTCCACACATCATTGCACATACAGTGGTATGAATAAGTTTTGGCACCCATGCTAAAGTTGCCTAAAAAGAGAAATAAAAAGATCATCTTTTGGATATTGATCTTAATGCCTTAATTAGAAAAATGAGGAAAACTCCAACCTTTAAGGACACCAATTTTCTTTGTGAATGAATAATGTATCATAAATAAATAAATAAATAAATGTTTTTCCTTAAAATACAGGGTGCATAAGTCAGGGCATCCCTATGTTAAATTCCCATAGAGTCAGGCAGATTTTTATTTTTAAAAGCCAGTTATTTCATGGATCCAGGATAATATGCATCCTGATAAAGTTCCCTTGGCCTTTGGAATTAAAATATCCCCACATCGTCACACACCTTCCACCACACCTAGAGATTGGCATGGGGTACTTTCCATAAGATCATCTTTCAATGCAAATCAAACCAGCTATTAGGCTAACTGAAGTAAAACCATGCCAATCTCTAGGTGTGAGTTTTCCTCATTTTCCTAATTAAGGCATTAAGATCAATATCCAAAAGATGATTTTTTTTTTTATTCCTCTTTTTAGGCAACTTTGGCATGGGTGCCAAAAGTTATTCATACCACTGTATGCACAGTGCTTTCAGTTTCGGTTTTCAATTCGATCAAGTATGTTCTCTTCTCTCGATTGGATTATGAAAGGAATAAACCTCCCCTTTCAATCAGATTGAAATTTCGTATCGAATAACGTGTGATTGAGCAGCCAATTCGATAATATATTATTTGGGCACAATATATAACAACCTATACAGCTGTTCTGTCTGCCCAGCGCTTCCACCGGGCCGCACGTGTGTGTGTCCTGTCCATACCTTAGACACACTGCGAGTCTCTGTTCGGGATCGATTGGTTCACGGAAATTGGTGGTCTTGTTTTTGAAATGTGGCTCCAGAATCGCAAGCAAAGCATCAAACTGTTCCACTGACATTCTGAGGTAAATCTTGAATCGCTCTGGATAAATTCGCAACTCATTGATAAGGAGGTGCTTCCTCTCGGTGCAATTTCAGGAATGGATGGACGTAATATTTTCTCTTCTCTTTTCAATAAGCGAGAGGACAACAAAATCATCCTCACTGCTTGACGAATCCATTTTGTATTTTTGCGTTTTTTTCCCACAAAGGTTTAATAAATACGCATTGGACACAGTGTGCAAGGTTTCTGTACGTGATGAATTTTTAGGCTGACGAACACGAAAAAACGCATACAAAAATTTAGTACTCGGCGTGCAACGGCCTTTAGAGCCAAACTCTGCAGGATAGCGGCTGTCTAGGACCGAACTTGCCTACCCCTGGGTTAGAACTACAAACACAAGTCAAAAGTGTTAAAAAACTACAGACATGGAGGACACGTGAGTCGGACGGTTGTGCAGAAAGGTTTAGTTAAAGGGGTTTAAGTGATTAATTATCAGTGTCTAACCTGACAAATTTATTTATTCATTGGTGGCTACATAATTGCATCTGCAGCAGCATTGTGAAGTTTTGGATAGATATGTTTAGCCAATCATTTTTAACTGCATCATTACATTCAAATTGCAAACATATCAAGAGAGTCTCCGCATGAAAGACCCACGACTAGCAGATGAATATCTCCGAAATGGTACGAAATTATATTCGATTGAATGGAGAATTTTAACTGTGACGAGGTGATTGACAGGGCAGTTCACGGTGATAGGATGCACGTGACAGATCTGTCCGTTAAAGATGAAGTAGTGTGTCCCAAAGCTTGCCTACTCTTTTGCTACACACTCAAAAGTATGTACTTTTTCTTCACAAAAGTATAAGTAGGCGAACGCAGCCCATGTCTGGGTTTATAACAGTACGTCACTGAGAAGGATGGATCGCAGATTAAGTCAAAGAAACCAGCGCAAGCAGCTCGTGAAGGAACACAGAGCAACTGATTGGGACTGAGAGTTAATAGGTTAATGTATTTGAAAAAATCTGTCGAAACAATTTGTTTTTAGGACAGCCACTGTTTACATGTTTCAACAATAGATGTGAATAAAAATGCAAGTTAGCCAGCTACTCAAATTTACAGTGACGCTTTAATCTTTCAGCTGTTTTTGTCCTAAGAAGTCATTTTGTCCTTTTTCTGGCTTGAAACTATTGCACTCCAGTGTAAAAGTAATCCATATGACTCCAGGGGCCTATACCATGAAGCCGATTTAGGTGGCTAGCCAGCTATGTTTCAGTTTTGTTTGCGCCAACCCTAGTTAGGTACCATGAAAGTGGTTTGGCTTTTAGCAGTTTTCATCGCCATAGTAACTTATGCTCCATGGCCAACCTGGGGTGCGTTTCCCGAAAGCATCGTTAGCCAACTATGGTCGTAAGTTGGTCGCAATTTCCATTTATCTCTATCGGAAAACGACAGAACTTGTGACCATAGTTGGCTATGGTCCGGGACAGGTTATGTTCCAGGTAAGAGGTTGCAAACCGAACTTGGACCAATCAGCTTTGAGCAAAGTGACACATGTCTGATGGGATAAAAGTCACTCAACCTGTTTCTACTCCAAATTAAAGGTCACTACATCATCTGGCTTTTAGCAATGCTTATTTAGAACATTAATAATAATAAAAATTTGTATGATTTAGAAATTACTTCTGTAATTATACCCTTAAACAATCTCACATGTACAATTTCAGTTCATCAATTATTAGTAAGCAGATTTTAAATGAATAAGTATATATAAAGGTAATATATATGCTTAAGAATCAATAAATTAAGCTATAAAATGACTACATGTGAGCTTAAATGTTAAATTCTGTCTATACCTTTATCAATAAATTAACTATCGGGATCTATCTTTCATAGACAGCTATTTTCTTCTTGCTGTGTAAATTTGTTTAAATTCTTAACATTTTAATACTTTTATTCAATAAGAGAATTGCGCTGCTTCTCTCGCGAGAAATTAATTTCAATAATTTTTGAATGAGTTTAACTCTTTCCAGCGTGTGATTGGCTGTTCCCTACTGAGATCTCACCTAAACTCAGGATCAAAGCCTGAGTTGACAGAAAGTTGATGATCAGCATCATGGTACCAACAAAGCCTGGTTGGATTGGTTTGGTTTTGTCAACTCGAAACTAATCCTGCAACCCTGAGTTTGTTCAACTACCATCATGGTACAGGCCCCAGGTGTTTAATCCAGGTCTTCTGAAGTAATGCATCCTCTTTCTATGACGAACAGAGTTTGAATTTAACACTTTACAGGGTTTGTTGCAGCCGGTCTCTCTCTCTCTCTCTGGTGTATCAAATGGTCTAAAAATGTTTAGGTTTTGCTGAGATCACGAATGATACACAAAGAAAAGCTTATGCTGATCCTTGCTGTGTAAAAGAGGAGAAACTGGAAAAAAACAACAAAAAACTATTTCATATATAAAATAGATTCAAATATCATATTTACAAATAGTGTTTTAAATGGTAAAGATATGCAACAGTGTTTTTAAATCAGTTTTTATAAAGTGTTGCTGGTCTGTGTGTGTGTGTGTGTTTCAGGGTTCGAGCCGATGAGAGGTGACTGGGTGCTGGCACAGTATGTGGTCAATCCTGGAGAATTTAGCAGTCAGGCTCAATCTGTTTCTCCACTGCGCTACCGCCGCATGGACGGGGTCAGTCACTCACAATGCGCATCTGGGCTTTCTAAAAGTCAAGAGTGATTACATTTAGGGATGTCCTGGCCAGGGGAGGGTAGGGAGTTTAAAATCCATTCCAATTTCGTAATCGGCATTGTCCGCCATTGATGGAATTTTGATGGAATGGTGTTTTTTCACTGGTAAACGGAAGGGGGTGCATCTTATGGAAAAGTGCTGAATCCAACACTGGTCAAAAAATATGTGAGAAAGCAGAAACAAGCAATCTCATAATCACATGCAGATGTAAAATAACGTGACTATCAACATTAAACAGTCAAACCAAAATTTATTCAGACACCTTCAACATTATCACAGTTTAATCCACTGTAGTTTAGAAAATGGTAATAAAATATGACAAGAACTCAAGTTTTTTTTGTTTTTTTTTTGTTCACAGATTAATTCTGTTGAATATCTGTCAGCGATTAAATTTAATTAGACAATTATATAATACCAATTTGGATCAAACAATTTCTAAGCAATGCTTCATGTTCAGCTTGTGTGTGAAAAGGTCCCATTAGCAAAACCTTGTCTGGTCAAAGTGTCTGAATAATTTTTGGTCCCAAATATTTATACATTTTACTGGTAGTCAACTGTATGAAGTATTTTTGGTATAAAATTTCACAGTTTACTTTTTTTGCTCTCCTTACTTGCATAAAATTAAAGGGCAAGTTCGGTATTGTACACTTAAAGCCCTGTTTTAAGATAGTTTCTGATGAAATAGAACGGTTATGATTGAAATTTGGACAAATGCTGCTGTCCTGAGAATTTTCAGTTTCTGTGGTAATTCTTTGTGGTTCATTTTGAATCGGACGCCGATGTTGCACTGATTCTTCTGGACAGGTGAGTAGCTTCTAGTGCTGACGTTTTTGTATGTGAACTGAGTGAAGCGCGACTAAACTTTGATAGCTCTAGCGCATAATAGATTGTAGGGATATATGCTGCGTTCAAGTCCTCCTTGGAAGTTCGTACGTACGAGGTGGAAAGTCGTGTTTACGACGTGAGGTGCGTTCAAGTCAGTTTCGTCGGAGCAAAATGGCGGTGTACCTTCTTTTAATGAATTACATGAAAATACAGCAAGGTTTGTTAACTCTGCTAATAACAAAAATGAAGAACAAAGAATGCGCATCAGGTGTGTTTTCCTTTTTATGTTTTTTATTAGCTTATGAAGCCAATGTAAACTCTATCATTAGGTATAATTTTTATATTATAATGATATCATATTTTGTGCAGAGAGCTTGCTTTATAAATGAAGTGGCCCTGCAGTGTCCACTTTACTTCTGTCCTGAAGATAATCTTTCATTTCATCGCAAGAGGATCTTTGTGCGCTTGGCTCATCATGGTAATCCTCTGGACCATGTCCACAAAGAAGCTATTTTGCCATTTTCTGTTTTTTTGCCAATGGGTCCTCATCATCCCCAGTCTGCGCTGCGCCGTCTCCTGAGAGGCTTAGCCTTTGTGCAAGTTTTACGACTTCAGTAATAGGCCTCATCCCGTTTCTCATCATTAAAAAAAGGTAGCTGTTTAAAGGGATACTCCACTTTTTTTGGAAATAGGCTCATTTTACAACTCCCCCAGAGTTAAAGTGTTGAGTTTTACCTTTTTTGAATCCATTCAGCCGATCTCCGGTTCTGGCGGTACCACTTTTAGCATAGCTTAGCATACATCATTGAAGAGCACCAGACCATTAGCATTTCTCCCAAAAAAAATTACCAAAGGGTTTCAATATTTTTCCTATTTAAAACGTGACTCTTCTATAGTTACATTGTGCACTAAGACAGACGGAAAATGTAAAGTTGCGATTTTCTAGGCTGATATGACTAGGAACTATACTCTCATTCCTGCGTAATATTCAGGAAACTTCACTGTCGTACCATGAGTACAGCAGGCGTAATGATATGACGCAGCGCCTGATAATAGTGCCCAGCTTCCAACGTGACCGGGACTAAGTTTGTGTAATCATCGCGCCTGCTGCACTCATGGTACGACATTGAAGTTTCCTGATTATTACGCAGGAATGAGAGTATAGTTCCCTGCATTTCAGCCTAGAAAATCGCAACTTTACATTTTCCGTCTGTCTAAGTGCTCGATGTAACTATAGAGGAGTCAAGTTTTAAATAGAAAAAATATCTTTGGTAATTTTTTTGGGGAGAAATGCTAATGGTCTGGTGCACTTCAATGATGTATGCTAAGCTATGCTAAAAGTGCTACCGCCAGAACCGGAGATCGGCTGAATGGATTTAAAAAAGGTAAAACTCAACAGTTTAACTCTGGGGGAGTTGTAAAATGAGCCTATTTCCAAAAAAAGTGGAGTATCCCTTTAAAACGCGGGTCCAGTACTGCAGCTAAAATAGAGGCTGCTTGTCATCACAACTCTGTCTTCAAGTCCACCGACTATCTATTTCCTGCACAAGCTTAAGTTTCATCTTCTTCTTTGTTGGTCTATCGTTATATGTGATGGCAAGATGACATTTTTTTAGATTCTCAAGCATTGGGAAGACCGCAGACAGGGATGTGTTAGTCTCCTCCGACAACAGCTCGGTCATTGTAATAAAGGGCTTAAGAACGTCTTTGATGCCTTTAGCCATATTTCACTGCTCTGTTGTCATGTCCAAAGTGCTGCTGTCACTCCTCTTAGTGTAATTGGGGTCCGATAAAACGGCGGTGATGGGCCAGCGTGGCTCCAACATAAAGCAGGTGGAGTTCCACCGGGTGGTTACATCCTGGATGAGTTCGTGCTTAGAAGCTTTTTGCTGCACTTGTTTCTCTTTGAGAACCGTTTTTGCCTTGTGTCCCTTTTTGAAGTGCCCAACAAGACGGCGCGCCGCAGCCACCGTGCGCGACACCTGGTCTTCTTTTAAGGCCACATTTACACACAGCTGCAGAGTGTGGCCTGCACACCTAACCAACTTCACGCCTGGCCACTGACCGGATCCCTTTAGTAATTCCACCGAGAGGACCATGTTGGCAGCGTTGTCCGTTACCACTGACACCCGTTTCTCTGGTGGAATGTGGTAAGTGTCTGCGACTTGAGTCGCGCAGCAACATTTTCTCCCATATACGCTTCATCCATCTGCTTTGTTTCTAACACAAAGCTATTCATTATCCAGTCCGTATCGATAAAATGGGCCGTAACTGTCACGTATGCCTCCATTCTAAGCGAAGACCACAAATCAGTTGTGAGGCTTACAGCCTCGGGGGATTGGAGAAACTGGTTTACATTTACTTTAGGTTCATCAAACCACGAACGTAGTGCACACATGACAGTCTCCCGTGCGGGCACAGTATATCTTGGCTTGACGATTTTAAACATGTTCTTAAAGCCCTCTCCTTCCACTGTGTTGACTGGCCTCATATCTTGGGCAATGAAATGCATAATCCACAGAGGATGGACCAACTCCAGTTGCGTCTGGGTGCTTCCTGATGCCTGTGGCATGGCCTGGGGATGCACCTAGTACATAATATTAACCAATAAAAAATATTAATACATTTTTAGACATTAGACATCGCAAGCTGTCTTGACACGTAATAACTCGCTTACCGCTTTTAGGTGATAGGCCATATTGGTCGTTGAGCTGTGGTACGTTAGCTTTAGGCCGCATAGCTTGCACTCCACAGTCTTGTCGTCTTTTTTGTTAAATGCAGCCAGACAAAAGATTTAGATTTGCGGGACATTTTTTTGTCAATTAAAGCTAAAACAAGTAGCGTTCTAATTCAATGAATACAGCAAAACTATTTATATTCTTTACTGAGCGCAAAGCAGCTGTGCAGCCAGCCACAGGTGTGGTTCACGAGTGTTCTACGTGGTGCGCTAAACTGTGGCGCAGTTACAAAATAGCCTAAATTAAAGCATTTAAAGTTGGGGATAAAACATAGGCTAATAATTATATTTAGAATACAGTAATATATAACTGATTATAAAAGAATAAATATCAAGGAGTAAATCAATGAGAATGTCGGTCGACTAAGACGCCATCGACCGATTAGTCGACTAAATGACTAAAATTAACAGCCCTAGCTTCCAGTTGTCACGGGTAAAGGTGCAGGAATGCAGGAGTGTAGGCGGAAGGAACGGGAGGAGTCCAGATTTACAATGGAGATATAAATTTAATAGGAATACAGGCAGGAAGGCAGGGTAACACCGGGTAACATACAACATCGACCGACCAAGACTGACTAAAACAGAGGGAACTAAATACACAGAAGAATCAAACATAATGAGGTGAAGACAGGTGAAACAGATGAACAGGACGCTGAACGGGAGGCTGATGAGGGAGTGAGTTCAGGTGTGCAGAGGATCATGGGAAGTGTAGTGCTGGAGACGCAGACAGGATGGTGCAGACGAAGACTGTGACAGAACTCCCCCCTCCCGGGAGGCGTGACCTCACGCCGCAGAACAGATGAAGGAGGGGGAACGAACTGGGTGCTGAGCGGGGCGTGGCCAGGGTGGAGCAGGCTGAGGGCGAGACCAGGGCGGAGCAGGCTGAGGGCGAGACCAGGGCGGAGCAGGCTGAGGGCGAGACCAGGGCGGAGCAGATGGAGGGCGAGACCAGGGCGGAGCAGATGGAGGGCGAGACCAGGGCGGAGCAGATGGAGGGAGGACCCCTGGTGGAGCCGATGGCAGTGGGGCTGACAACACCAGGGGGCCGACTGACAGGGGCGGAGCAGATGGAAGAGGAGACCAGGGTGAAGCTGAGGGACAGATGACATATGGTGCTGAGGAGGGACCGAGGGACCATGGTGACACCGCAGGCTCAGGTGACAGAAGTGACGACAGGGGCACAGAGGGACACGGTGAGGCCAGAGGGAGTGAGGGCTGACGGGTGACTGGAGGGAGTGAGGATTCCGACAGAACCGGGGGGGTGACATGACGGGGCGGAGCCAAGGGAAGGAAGTCCAAAGGTGAAGGGAGGATGACGAGGGAACGAAGGGAGTCCGGAGGGTCGAGGGAGCCTGGTCGAGCTGGTGGACTGAGGGGCCATGGAGGAGCTGAGGGAGGTAGGAGCCACGGGGAGCTGATGGGACAGAGGGCCGAGGAAGTGTCCAAATGGAGGAGGTGTGAGGCGAAGACTGGGGATCCACAGACCAAGCTGGTTTCGGGGAGCTGAAGGGCAGGAGAGCAGATGGAGGACAGATGAGAGGAGGCGGGAGAGGGAGGCTGGGTGGGATCCTGGTCTCGGGCTCTGACCGGACGGTCTCGGGCTCCGGCTGGACGGTCTCTGGCGCTGGCTGGACGGTCTCTGGCGCTGGCTAGACGGTCTCTGGCGCTGGCTGGACGGTCTCTGGCGCTGGCTGGACGGTCTCTGGCGCTGGCTGGACGGTCTCGACGGGGCTGGTTGGAACCAGCGGTGAGGAGCATACGGTCTCTGGAGAGCTGGACGGAACCAGCAGTGAGGAGCATACAGTCTGGAGAGCTGGACGGAACCAGCAGTGAAGAGCATACGGTCTCTGGAGAGCTGGACGGAACCAGCAGTGAGGAGCATACAGTCTGGAGAGCTGGACGGAACCAGCAGTGAAGAGCATACAGTCTCTGGGGGGCTGGACGGAACCAGCAGTGAAGAGCATACAGTCTCTGGAGAGCTGGACGGAACCAGCAGTGAAGAGCATACAGTCTCTGGAGGGCTGGACGGACCCAGCAGTGAAGAGCATTCAATCTCTGGAGAGCTGGACGGAACCAGCAATGACGAGCATACAGTCTCTGGAGGGCTGGACGGAACCAGCAGTGAAGAGCATACAGTCTCTGGAGGGCTGGACGGAACCAGCAGTGAAGAGCATACAGTCTCTGGAGAGCTGGACGGAACCAGCAGTGAAGAGCATACAGTCTCTGGAGGGCTGGACGGAACCAGCAGTGAAGAGCATTCAATCTCTGGAGAGCTGGACGGAACCAGCGTGAAGAGCATTCAGTCTCTGGAGAGCTGGACGGAACCAGCGGTGAAGAGCATTCAGTCTCTGGAGAGCTGGACGGAACCAGCGATGAAGAGCGTTCAGACTCTGGAGAGCTGGACGGAACCAGCGGTGAAGAGCGTTCAGACTCTGGAGAGCTGGACGGAACCAGCGGTGAAGAGCATTCAGTCTCTGGAGAGCTGGACGGAACCAGCGATGAAGAGCGTTCAGACTCTGGAGAGCTGGACGGAACCAGCAGTGAAGGGCGTTCAGTCTCAAAAGGACTGACGGTGAGCGCGGGCTCGGCAGGGCTGACGGTGAGCGCGGGCTCGGCAGGGCTGACGGTGAGCGCGGGCTCGGCAGGGCTGGACTCAGGCTGGACTGGTGTGACCGTAAGGGACGACCACAGACCCACAGAGCCCTGTCCAAAAATTCGGGAAATGGCAGATGGAGGTCCTCGAGCAGTAGAATTTGGGCTAATGGGTCGTCCAAACCTCTCCAGAACCGTAGTCTCAGGAAATCCTCCTCCAGTATATGTCCTGGCGTAAATGAAGATAAACCTCTACGAATTCTTCCAACGAGGCCCCATTCTGATCAAAGAGGAAAGCCTCCATCTGGTCGTCCATCTTTGTTGGTTGTGGTCGGTCGATCTGTCACGGGTAAAGGTGCAGGAATGCAGGAGTGTAGGCGGAAGGAACGGGAGGAGTCCAGATTTACAATGGAGATATAAATTTAATAGGAATACAGGCAGGAAGGCAGGGTAACACCGGGTAACATACAACATCGACCGACCAAGACTGACTAAAACAGAGGGAACTAAATACACAGAAGAATCAAACATAATGAGGTGAAGACAGGTGAAACAGATGAACAGGACGCTGAACGGGAGGCTGATGAGGGAGTGAGTTCAGGTGTGCAGAGGATCATGGGAAGTGTAGTGCTGGAGACGCAGACAGGATGGTGCAGACGAAGACTGTGACACCAGTGATGCACCAGTAAAACCAGCTATATGATATGACATGGCTCGAATGCAGATTTTCTATACATCATTATACTTTGTAATCCAAAGCAGCCAAGTTCACATTTTACAGTTCACAGAATGAGCTGTCATCGAGGCAGACCGTCAATTTGAAAATAGTGTTTTTGTCGCTTTAAGAAATGGGCGAGCTAACTTGGTTTGTTTGGGATCTCGCTACAAACATAAACAGAAGTGACGGCACCCTCAATCGCTGATACAACCTTTAAGTGTAAAATACCAAACTTGTCCTTTTAAGTATAGAGTCCTGCACCCACTTGTAAAACAATATAACTTTTGTCTGAATATTTTTTGGTTTGAATGTATATCAAAACTGCCTAATGATACTGAATGAAATGTTGACCCAGGACGAGCTATAGGACTGTGAAACTTTGGGGGTGTTGATGGACCCGATCTACTCCATCTGAGTTTTGATCATCGTTCTGAACCCGATCCAGATGTAGTCTGATAAAAATGCGATTTTATTTGTTTATTTTTTTGCTTTCTAAAGAAGAGGGACTGTTCTTTCTTTAGATATACTGCATGTTCAGATATTCATACAATCAAATATTCTGAGGGCTATGCAATTTTTTTGCGAAAATGATGAAGTGCTGCCTCTCAACTTAAAAAAAAAACGCTTGCAGGGAAAGAGTTAAGCTCATGAATTAGAATCTTGTTAAGAAACTAAAATTTCTATTCTGCTTATCGATTCATGTGTGAGCATTTCAATGTGGTTTTAAACCATTCAAGCACAAGTAGACACAAAACAAAACTCAGTTCAGCACTCGCAGACTGTTTTCTGTGCTGGGCAGTTCTCTTTCGTGAATAGAGATGAAAAAATGACGCTATTGCTTTACCAGCAGAAATACATTTCTAAGTTTCTAAATAAGTTTGCATCATTAATTCAGCTATTTTCCTGTTTATTACCATGATGATGCTGTTTTTGAAACGACAATGTATTATATGAAGCACTATAAAAAACGAAGGTGACTTGACGAATGCAGAAAACCAGAGCTGGAATAGGAGTTTAGTTGATAAGTCGAGGTTTTGTCCATTTGTACTGAGTGTTGGGAGTTGCTCAGGACTCTCGTGCCGTCTGTCTCTCAGGTCATTGTGACGTGGACACAAGGCAACAATGGCGTTGTGGAAGACAGCGTGTTCTTCAGCCTGGACTCTCTGATGGTGCCGTCGGGCTTCAGACCTGCTCGCGGTGACGTGGTGAATGTGGTGGTGTTGGAGAGCAGTCAGTCGCTCTACTGCTGGAGAGCTTCTGCATGACGCCGGTTCAGCACAGGTGACGCCTTCTCTCGCTCCTGCACGTTTGTCACATTCACCCGAGAAAACAGACACAAATTTCACATGCCTTTTGCTATCCATTCACAGAATTTGTTCAGTCTTCATCCATTTTTAGCATCCCAACCATTACACATGTGGAATCGATCATCTCTTCTGCTTAACTAGTTACAACACGAAATATATATCGTATGGTAGGTATGTTGAAAGATATAGTACAACTTAGTGAAATCATGTCACATGTAATCCCTTAATCAGTGTTTTAAACTGCGGAAAGGCATTGGTTACACAGCTTGTGAACTGTAAATGTCATATAATGTCACATTTACCCTAGAAAAGCCATTCATTGTTCAAAAACTCATTAGTCAGCTTAAATTAACTTTCGAGAGGGAATTAAACAAACAGTTCCTCCTAACGTTAAAAATAAAATTCATCCATGAATCTTAATGTTAGGATCACAAGGAAGGCAATGCAAAGTGTGTTTTTCCACAACTTCACACTTCAAAACAGCTTGTTTTCCTCAAAGGTGGTTCTATGGTTTCATTGCCGGAGTAATCCTGTGTTTGCGTCTGTCTCGTATTTACCAGTCCCTCCAGAAAAACGCGATTATGCGATCGCTAATTCAATGCAAAATCAGCCAAAGTCCGCATATTTATGCGGGGGCCGCATTTTTCAAATACGTCGCACTTTCGTCACATAAATTTCCGATTTCCGTGCAAAATATGCGGGGTTTGCATAATTTCATAATCCTCGCATTTTCGTTGCAAAAAAAAGTCACATGTATCTTACCAGAAAGTTGAAAAATGTTGCGTTTGCTTCACACAAGAGCAGCCATTTCCCCCTGTTTCCATGGGAACGTTATGAAGTGACGCAATTACGCGACGCCAGACAGACTCACGGAGGCGATTGACATCTCACAAATCAAACTCGTATAACTGTCTGTCACACATTCTACCGTCACATCGTTACTTAATAAACAACATAAGATAAAAGAAGTAGCATCAAAAGAAATTACCCCGCACACATGGGGTGTTCGAGACGCACATATAACACTGCAGAGAGTTCAACAGGGAGCGCGCAGCTCTTAAAGGGCCACACCTTATTTTACACTCGTTACAGTCTGAAATAAAACAAGATGAGAAATAAATATTCCCAGCACTTCTATGATGTAGTATGCTTGTTATCAAAGGAAGTATAAGAAATGACTCTTACATTAGCCTAGTGAGAACAGGATGTTGGAGGAATCACTTTTTTCTCTCTTTTTTCATCAAAACCGCAATTTTTGCAAGTTCCCTCAATTTTTGCAATTTCCTGCAATTTCATTGCATAAAATTGCATAAATATCCAGCATATTTCCATCGCATTTTTTAAAGAAAACGGGCCGCGTAATCAATCAATTTTTGCCCGCAACAATCACAAAAAAACTGTGCGTTTTCCTGGAAGGACTGAATACTATTATGGTAAATGTTATATATAAATCGCAAATTTTTTCACAAATTTTTGAAATTACCACCACAAATCAGTCATTTTGATCGCAAAAATCACAAAAAAAATCGTGAAATCCTGGAGGGACTGATTAACCACTATATGACAAGTGCAGATCAGTGGGCCGGGCTACAGAGGCAATGATGTAGAAGTAGGGCTTGATCTTCTGCAGAGGTGGTCTTTCCTCACACTATGAGTAATAATGTGACAAAATCCAAGAGATTGGCTTCAATAAGAGCTGTTTTTTGGACTACCACGGATGTTGAGGTCTGAAACGGATATACTTGCAGGATATTCTTATAGTCCATGACCTTTGGAAACTTTGATTTCTCAATTCATGATCCCTTTAAAATACATCACTTTACATAGGGGAAAAAGGCACCGGTTTAACTCCCAAACCAACTAGAGGGAGAATGAGTAAATAAACCAAATCAAGCTGTTTTTTTATTCTAGGGAAAGGGATGAGTTGTATGTTAAAATAAGTGTACAATGTATTAAATGAATGTTCATGAATCCAAATATAGTTTCATAAATAGCTTGAAAGATTATAACCAAGAGTAACATGTTGTTATGCATAGTTTAATACAAGGAACATGTATGACTGGTAACAAAGGGCATGTAATAAGAAGCGGCCGGAGAACCCACATCAAATCATATCAGTTATATGAGAAAACAAACACTTTAGCAGACTGTTATGTGTAACGTGAACGGAAAAAATTTAAGTTTTTCCAATGACAGTCCAGAAACCAATCAAGTACCAATCAGTATCTTTAAAGGTGCCATATAACATCATAAATCAAATCCTACTCCATATTCCATAACAGATGGGGGCAGTATACCTCCAAAAAATGACTTGTGCTCCTACCATCGCGCGTGTTATTCAAATCATTTGACATGATAGTAAAAGGTTGGAAGACCGCAGTTTCACGTGGAACATTTGGAGATTTTTAGAGATCAGAGACTCAATGAACTAAACACTAGAGTGAACTAAACTAAACACTATGAATCTCAACACTAAATGATGAAGACCGCCTCATAGATCTCAAAAACAAGCTGGTGCATTTCGACGGTATGGGAAAATAAAAGCTTGGGCAATTATTTGAAGTTTATGGTATTCGTTTTGTTCATATTACACTTTTATTGTTCGTGAATTAATTTGACAGACAGCATTCGCTGATGTTGATCAAGCTAGCGCCGTGAATTCACCGTGAGACGCACGCAATTGACACTTAGCAAGCAGGTTAGTTAAGCTCTCAGATTCTGTCAATTATATTACGCAATTCAAAGAATAAATACCGTTTTGGCGCTTGTACATGTTACACTACAGATCCCTAGCGCACGTGAACCGATCATCTCTACTAGCTTGAAAAAGAACACGAACACTGGTGAAAGATACAGTGTGCTACAACTTACCAAAATGTATTCCTCATGCATAATGTCGACCAATCATTTTTTGAACTCTTCCCTGAACTGAAATGTAGTAATTGGCTGTATTTCCACACGACTGACATCAGGTTCAAGTACACACAAGCCGGCCGGCGCGAGCGCGAGTGCGCGACTCACTCGTCTATTGCAGTTTGGCTGGTGCTAACGTTGCCCGTCCGCATACCGCCTCCCATGGCCGGAACTGGTATTACGACACCTGCCGGGCCGGGGCTAGTAATTTAGCATGCTAATTCAGGTTAATATCTCGGCAGCACTATAACTTGTCAGTTTTTTAATGACATCTTTGCACTTATTTCTTCTCATTCTTTTGATGCGTGTAGCTCATTTTTCGTATATTGTTACCTCAATTATTACATATGGCCACCTTTAAT